TGTTTGTGAATCAGTCTACTCTAGTTGCACAGTATGTGTTTGATCCTTCAAATTAAAACTACAATTATTTAAAGGTGACATATCACCTTTTTAAGTGCTATAATCGGTGCATCTACCAACCCAGGAAACGTGAAAAAATTAACCCAGTAACTTTGTTTTGCTAAGCCTTTTTCTGCAAGAAAAAAATGAGCGCGTCAGATTTCGCTCCATGTGTGATGTGGCAAAGGGATCTTATTATATTATCACCGCCCCTCAATCTGCACGTTTCCACCCACGGCGCCGCCATTCTGTTTTCGCATAGCGACAACGGTATACCAGTTCTAATGCCATGGCAAAAGTTTGAGCAAAGCATGCTAACTGTTCTATCGTTAGCTGCACAGACGAGCACAGAACACTATTTAGAGTCCCAGCCTAGGAGGAGACAAGAGAGCAGTGGATTTGTTTATTTATTTACTGTATATTACGCTGCTGCCACACAGATCTAATATAAGCATGTGATTTTTACCTTCACTGACATAACTGCCTGTTTTTGTAACTCATGTGTTTTTAACAAACTTTTGTGTATTTGATAGTTTAATCACAATAAGGCATGAAAGTGAACTTAGTTTAGTACTCGCATGCCATGTGACAGCCGCTTTCTGTGCGTGTGCTTCAGATGTGTGCGCTCAGAAAACACTATATCAGAAGTTTAAAATAATGTGGCTTTAAAATGCATGATTTCAGCGCGATAGACATGATAATAAAAACCAAACAGATGTTTTTTTTGTTTTTTGTTTTATCAGAGTAGCTTGAGGTAAGAGCTGTAAAGGCACAGCCCTATTCTGGAAAAGGGGGCGGGGAGCAGCAGTTCATTTGCATTTAAAGAGACAGGCACTAAACCAGCGTGTTTCTGCTTCCCCTCAAAATAGGCATTTTCAAAATGATATAATAAATGATCTGTGGAGTATTTTGAGCTGAAACTTCACAGACACATTCTGGGGACACCTGAGACTTATATTACATATTGTAGAAAGGGGCATAATAGGTCACCTTTAAATAATCAACTTCCAAACCCACTTTTTGGGCTGTGCAGGACTTAACCACAGCATTTTACCAGGCTGCACCTGTGTTGTCTGGCCACATTGACCCTGTCCAGCAATCTTCAGCTATTAAATGGGAAGGTTTGTGAGGGGGAAGTACACTTTTAAGGAAATCCCAAGTCAATGAAATCAATGAGAGCGCCTTTTAAAAGTTAATTGCTTTTTTTAGAGGAGCTCAAAAGCCTTACAAAGAAAAGAAGACCACTTTCACAGTCCCCGAGCAGGTCTGAGCTTTTTGCAGGTCACTCAAGTTCTTTGACACCAAACTCCATTTTAGGCCAGTTTACTGGTGGCTTGATGGCATCCTATGACTGTGTCACATTGAAAGTCAATGAGTTCTTTCTTTGTTCAACCACATTCTACTGTATGTTTGTCCATGTGCTTGATTTTAGAAGTTTGTGCTTGGTATTCTGTGACTTTTGAGTTTGTACGCATTTGTTTTTGTATTCTCGCAATTCCAGTGTTGCCATACAGTAGTTAGGGTGTAGAGCAAAAAGACAGTTGACCAGCAGGGGACATAAATGTCTTTTATAAAACCAAAAATACAAATTATAGCTGTATGGCTTGAATTTTTACAGGAAAAAAATGTGGTATATTGTAGCATTAATTTATTAGTGATAAATTATTTGTATTTTTTTAAAACAGAAGCACTAAAGTTTGCCTATTTTATGAAAATTAGAAGAAAAATATTAGTCATATTTTCATGCTCAAAGAGAATTCACTCATTCATGTATGTGTGAATTCATGGTTTGGTATATGACAATAATAACAAAATAATAAAAATAAATCATTAATTAAATGTAAAATTCAAATAAATATTTTTAAAATAAAAAAGCAAAATAATAACACTAAAAAAGATGAAATATTTTATTTCTTTAACTGCATATTGTGAACATTAACAGGTATCAGAGAACCATGAACATATGAATGTGTTGTTAACTTATTGAAATTTTAACTTAAAAACTCAGGTGGTACTTCAAGTAAATATTTTGTGAAGTTGTGCATTAACACATTATTCATTGAATAGGCAATTATTGGTGCTCCAAACCACCCGAATACTATTAAATGATTATCCCATATTATATATATTTTTTTAATTTCAGTCATTTAACTGTAGAAGGGAACATCCTCTCCAATGATTATGTTCTACAGTTTGCAGCGTTCCATAATTAAAGAGGGCTAAAGACGTGCTTGACTGTCTCTCTCTGCTCTCTGGTTGCGTCCGCAGTCGTCTAGCACCAGCGCATGCTCGTCTTAAGTGTTCAGCATTGTTCAGCACTACACCACTGTACTGCCAGAGAGGAACCTATGTCTTGTTAGATGGAAAGATCAATTATTAGCGACATGTGAACATGTACAGGGCTTTGCACATCAGTTTGAGCCCCATCAGCAGGTGGCCAGTTCACCTTCACAGGCTGGTCAATGGATCTCCCTTCCTGTAACTCTATCTCCATCAAACCAGTTAAAAATTCATCACTGGTTTTCAGGACCTCCATGCTCACTGATAATTTGATTTGAGTTGATAAGTTCTCCGCTTATGTTCTGTTCAAAGCCACTTAGAGGTGACATTGATGATAGCCTGTTTACAGGCCTTTATTCAGAGTCCTAAAACATTACACATTATTAATTATGGTTGATAATTCATACAGTAATTCATTGTAAAACTACAAGCCTGTGCCACTACAGCTCAGGTGTACAGTATGTGCAAAATTTTGTTGGCATTAGTTGATTTCTCGTCTTCTTATGACTCATTTTAGATGTGTTACTTTGCTGTTACCCTCATAAGAACTAGTGTTATGCAGTCCATTTCAGATGCACTGAAAAAATAGAAAAACAGATCCAATTTAATCATATTACTTGCTTTGATTGTGTTTCTCTTCTGAACTTGATTTCTTTACTTCCAATTAATGTAATTCTCTAACACGTGCAATCTGCTACATTATATAATGTAAGGTGAATATGAATCAATCAAGAATTATCTGTAGTTCCCAGCATGCTTTGCATGGGACTTAAAGGAGAGAAAAAAAAAAGTTGAAATCAAGTATTTTTTGTGTTTGTTTTTGAGCAAGATTATAAAAGGGGGAGACTTAATAGTGTTTAATGTTCAATTATGTTGGGATTTAGAACTATTTAATTTCACATTGGGTTAATATTGTGGTGAAGAGCGGAGATTTTGTGTGAGGATGGGTACATAAGGAGGACGGATACATCTTTGCTGCTTTCAGGACCAGACTTAGCATTTAGCATGCTAATATGTGCTATTGCACGCTAACAGTTCATTAGTTAGCTAGTATTATTCTTGAAAGCACACGTACATCTCAGAGACGTCTATTTGATATGCGTGTTTACATCTGGAAGACGTACTTGTTTTAGAGCGATTGCTCATCTGCAATACTTCTCTTGGACGTTTCCTGTCAGATGTTTAATAGACGTTTAGAAAATGTTTTAAGATGTTTATGATTTAGAATGTATGTAAAATTGACTTTTTAAAGATGTTTATCAGATGTTTGTACACAGCAGATGCTTTACATATGAAGTGCTCTTTAGCAGACATCTTGCAGATATACGTGTGCTATCTGGGATCTTATAATTCAAAGATGTGACATATATATATATATTTTTTTATTATTGATTACATTTTGTCAGGGAACCATATGAAATCACTTTTGAATCTACTTAATTTGGTCTCTTCAAAATAACTTAATTTGATGACATTGAAGTTACGTGAACCAATTCTGTCTCTTTTACCTAATTGATTTGTGTAGAACTGATGTACATGATTAAACCATATAAATCCATCACACATTTTTGTCAGTATGTGGTGAAAATAAAGTGAATAACTTCCCTGAAGGATATACAGTAGGAATGTCTCTCAAGGATAAATTCATGACTCTTGATTTGATTTCTTCTGGGAAATGTTGTGCCTTTTCATAAGCGTTTCTGTCCTCGCCTAAAGGTTTTTAAACGTTTTTTTATTTGTAAACCATGAAAATGTATTTTTTAAAGCAACATCTTTGTTTTGTGCCAGTCATAAATTGCTTCTCATCCTTCAAATAAGAATCAAAAGCTCACCGAATAGCTGTAATTATGAAGGCAGTCTGTGTCCTTGACTGTGTGGTCTTATAGTAATTGCTCAGCACTGTAACCTTGGCTCTTTGCAAACTCAAGAGATATCGAACAAAAGACCCAGGTGGTCTTCTGATTGGTTCATCGGGCTGAAGGTACTGTAGTGCTGTATCCAGGCTGGATTTCATTCTCTCTTATTGTCTGCGTTTGAGTGGGAGTTACAAACAATGACTGCTACAGTCAGGGGCGCGGGAAGATGTTTTCGGTTGGGGGTGCTGTGTGTGTCGGTGAAGGCGGGGGGGAAGTAGGGGTGCTGAGGGGGCTGCAGCACCCCCTGTTTTCACATGGTTGCAAATGCAATGCCAAGTTTGTTCATTTAAATTTATTCAGTTTTAGCATTTAATAATTTATTTGTAATGATCTCTGAAATGTAAATTGTAAGTGGGCTATCACTTACAATTTACATTTCAGAGATCATTACAAATAAATTATTAAATGCTAAAACTGAATAAATTTAAATGAACAAACTTGGCATTGCATTTGCAACCATGTGAAAACAGGGGGTGCTGCAGCCCCCTCAGCACCCCTACTTCCCGCGTCCCTGGCTACAGTACATATGTAGCCGGTAGCCCAGGTTACACATAATGAAAACACAATGAGTTCAGATTTATTCATAGCTGTGCTACTGACCACAGGGCAAAAATACAACATCCTTAGAGCAGTCTGAAACATTAAGTACAATTTATGCATTACGGTACATTTATTTATGCATTACATTGAAACAGCCATCATTGATTGTTAATAATCAGCACGATTGCATCTAATTTTATCTAAAGTGTTTGCTATTTTTTTTAGGAACCTTGGGAAATCTGGCTTACGAGTATCATGTCTAGGGCTGGGTGAGTAAAACATGATAGACTATGTGTACTCTCACTGTCTTTTATAAATATCAAAAATTTGAATGAGCTTAGGATTCACTGAGCAGCATTGTTACAGTATATAATACTGCATGTGTCGCTCTGACACTACCTGTACATTCTCTTTTCAGGCACATGGGTGACATTTGGTGGTCAAATAACTGATGAGGTAGGGTTTTCATGGATTGTTACTCTTTATTTATTCACAAACTACTGGACAATAGCATTTAGCATGCTAGCACTTTTTCAGCAAAGCATTAAAAACCTGAAGAAAAAACATACTGACATCACCCAAAGTACAGTATGTTATAGTAATAAGTTACTAAAATTGTATGCATTTAAGTCATGTTTTATGATAGGTGTTAGTATGAAGTCCATTGTCATATCCAGCAAAACATTTAGGGCCACAATGAGCGGCTCTGCAGAATGCTTTAAGTGTAGCTTTGAACAACCTCTACTGTACAGTAACTAAATAGCAGCACAGGATGCAGTACAGTACAACCATGTCAATTTGAGTTTTGTACTGCTGAAAACAACATAAAGCTATAATGCCCTCTCAGCTGTCAGCTGTTTTCTCTCCATCTGTGATCTGTCCCCATCTCTCCTCTCTCTCTGTCTTCTCTCAGGTAGCTGAGCAGCTGATGACGCTGGCGTACGAGAACGGTATCAATCTGTTTGACACAGCCGAGGTGTATGCGGCAGGGAAGTGAGTACTGATTTCCCATCATTCATTGCTGTCGCTCTTCATCAACCATAGGGATTTACACTTATATATGAGGAGATTAGTAAAGTATTAAGTCTAATTTTAGCAACCTTTTCATCTTTTATAGGACTGTATAGACATACTTCTCACAAATCTGATGAATCTAAAATGATTTTCAGGAAGCCAAATCATTGTCTGCTATTAAAATGTCTTTTAACTTTTTTTAATATACTGTAGCTTTGGCAACAAGGTTCATGCTTCTTAGCGAAGATGTGACACAGTATCAAAGACTGTCGAGACCAAATGTTAAAGCTGAAGAACTGTTTATTTAAAAACTCATAGTGATCGACATCTATTCTGAATATTTGGGAAGCATGTGTTTTCCTAAATACCCGTAGAGGGTACTAATATATATATAT